TAATTTGATCAGTAGATTGAAACTGCAACTATTGTCAGCCCAATAAAGTTTTTCCTTATAAGGTGCCTTAGACTGAGCATCCTTAATAATGGGTTTTAAGTTTTCCTTTGAGAGGTAATTAATATTGCCTACGAAAGCCTCAGTTTTGACAGATTTTAAGGCAGCAGTACTTGCTCTTTATCAGCCAAATTGTTGCCTTTAGCTTCTTCTAATTCTGGGCGTCTAGGCACTTTGATAAAGGCCAAGGCAGATGGAAGTTGGATTGAGTCCAGTAATTTATTAACAAAGAATCCATTCTTAATTTGAGATGTTCCAGAGGTTAGAGATCCTCTCTGTTTCCAGAGCATATTAAAATCATGCATGACCCCAGGACATAACAACTGTCTGTGTAAATGTGTGCAGTTTCACCTTTTGCAAAGTACGAGCTCTAGTCCAGGTGCAGAGTTCAGCCTGTTGAGCTGACGTGGCTTTCGTCAGTAGAGCTGCTTTAACTACTTCTAAAGAAGTTGTAATTGCATATCTAGCGCAATATTTCCCTTCATCTTAAATGGGAACCATCAGTGAACCATGAGAGCTCAGCATTCATAATAGTTTTTTCTAAGTCAGCTTTAGGTGTCAGTAGCTGGTCAGTCAAACAGCCATGAGGTGTCTCCTGCGAAGGCAGAGGAAGGACAGTGGCAGAGTTAAGATTATTACAGAGAGAGTGTAACATGGGGAGAAGGTAGTAACAGGCTTTCTTAAGAGTGAGTTGGCTTGCAGAAAGATGTTGAGTGTGATAGGAACTTAATAAAGCTTCTACTGCCAGAGGAATAGAAATGGTGAAGGGAGAGCCCACGACTATCTCTTCCGTTGGTTTGGGAAGAGCTTCTGTGGCTGAAATGGTTCTGGTGCAAGAAGGAAGTCCTTTGGCTATTGGGTGTAATTGTGAGCTGTAAAAGCCAAGGTGGAAATACCCACTTCTCAGGAAAAGCAATGTGCTTATTACAAATTCATGTTAGCTGATAAAGCAGCTCACCCAAAGAACTCGATAGGGCTTCAATTTAAAGGAAAGAATACATTTTGTTAGTCCAGTAAGATAATTTTATTAATTATATACATAATACACAATTACCTTGCCCTCATTAAAAATACATAGAAAGATAAGGTCACGTTTACACTTTCCTCTCTCCTCGCTCTTATCAATTTGGTATTTATCTTTCCAGACCATTTTCTACATATTTAAGTACACACATATACCTATAGAAAACACATACTTCCTCTGTTTTGTTTTATGTTGTTCTGTTTTATATACTCTGCTACCTGCTTTTCCATTCGACCACATGTCTAGGGGAGCTAGTCATGTGAGTTCATTTTGACTCTACTTCATTGTTTTAAACTGCTGCAGAGTATTTAATGAAAGCCTGTTTCATAATTTTAGAAGCCATTTTTCCATATGTATATTATTTCTAATTATTTGCTTTTATACATCGTTATGCCTTAAACATCCCTGGACACACCTCCTAGTACATGTGCACAAGATTTGTTTTAGGATAGATGATGAGATGTGTTATTTCTGGGTCATCGAGCTTTTAGAGTGTTGCCAGGGTCTGCTCAAATTGCCCTTCAAAGTGGCTAGTTTACCTCCTAACAAGACTGTGTGAGAGTTCTCATTTCCCCACGCCCTTGATGGTACGTTCTTGCAAGTCCCAAAGCTCTATTTCTTCACTAAAATTCTTCTAGTCACAATTTTTTTTACTACTTTGTACTGAATGCCGCCCAATGAGGTTTAATGAGTCTTTTAATGAACTCTGGTGAATCCAGTGGAGCATCCATTTAATTCACAAGTACTCCTTTCTTTTGGCCTTTAAATATGTTTTATAAGCAGTATTGATTTGAACTCAGAGGGAGACATTATTTAACACATGCTTCTGATGAGAGAAGAGAAAATAATTCGTTCAAAATTCTAGGCATGGGCTGACAGGTCAAGGGCTTATGTAAGAAAAGATGTTTACAAGAAGGGCAAGTGTTTGCATTTCTGTCAATATTTTCACATGTTCTGCATTACCATGCTTTGTGGCGACAAACTCTTCTTCCCTGGTTTCTGAAGTTTCCAGTGTCAGTGTTTGCCCCTGAGCACACGGACTTTCTACAATCAGAGGAATGGTTCAAACAACTTCATTAAGCTGGTATTCACTGGGGGTGTGGGGCTTTGCATTTTAATTTAATTACAAGAAGGGCAAGTGTTTGCATTTCTGTCAATATTTTCACATGTTCTGCATTTTCACATGTTCTGCATTTTCACATGTTCTGCATGTCGCTTTGTGGCGACAAACTCTTCTTCCCTGGTTTCTGAAGTTTCCAGTGTCAGTGTTTGCCCCTGAGCACACGGACTTTCTACAATCAGAGGAATGGTTCAAACAACTTCATTAAGCTGGTATTCACTGGGGGTGTGGGGCTTTGCATTTTAATTTAATTTTTATAACTCTCCCGTTCATTCTTATGTTATTGTAATTTCTTTACAGAATAGAAAACTGAGGTTCAGAAGTTAAATAACTCACCTAACGTGAGACCAAGAGGGAAACCCAGGCCTGCTGGGCTCTAAGTCTTTGCGATCTGCTTCGATGCAGAGGAAGTTAAACAGAAATTCAGACAATAGTGATATGGGACAACAGAGATGGTAGACAGACTGTACCAGTGACAAATACAGGAAGCATAAGAGAGTTAATCATGACACAAATTCATGTTATGTAGATAGTTTTGCAGTTTACAAAAAGTTACATGTGTAGTATAACATAGTTGTCAAGAGCATATACTCAGGAGCCAGATGGCCTGGCTTCAAGTCCAAGCTCTGCTATTTAACCAGCTACGTGACTTTGGGAAAATTACTTAACTTCTTTGTGCTCGGTTTTCTCATCTGTAAAGTAGGGATTAAAAATAGTACTTATTTCATTGGGTTGTTGTAATGACTAAATGAGATAGGGTTTGTAAAGCAGTTAGAATAGTGCTAAGCATGCAGTAATCACCATAAAAGTTTGTCATTATTTTCTTTACTATTATATTTGTTTTTCATTGTTGTTATTCCCATTTTAGGTGAGGGAAAGGAAACTAGGGAGGTTAAGCAACTAACTCAAGATCATGGAGTCAGTCAGTGATAGACCTGGACCAGAACCTGGGTCTCTGCCATCCTGCCCAGGGGTTTCCACTCCTGGTGCTGTTTCCCACCTTAACTAAATACAAGCAGAGGGGTCATTGCAGGCCTTGGAATGTCTGGGCAAGAAAAGGCGGGGCTGGGCACAATTCATGCTTGTTCATCAGAATCAAAGAAGGAGCTGTAGATAAAGAATTTCAGGAACTTCGGTGTAGCGTACGAAACATTCCACAACAATTCAGTCCAATTTTGTTTCATGAACTTTTACTAGCATGTGAATCTATCTTTCCCGTCTACTTCTCTTCCCTTCCAACCCAGCCCCAGTCATCACCATCACCATCACCATCACCTGCCTTTGGACATCTACAGGTGCCTTCTATCTGGCATCCCCCTTTACATCCATTTTCCCCTCTAAAACCAAAGACATTTCTAAATATAAATCTGATCATGTCAATTCTGTTATTATAACCTTTCAATGGCTCCCCATGGCTCTAAGAACTTGAGCTACACCCCTGCTTTGACCTATAAAATGGGGCACATTGAGCCTTCCTTCTACTTCGGCTCAAGCCCTTTGCTCCTGTCAGATTGCACTTCTTTCAGGTCCTCAAAACTGAGCTCTGGTGTTGGATACACAATCCCCTTTGCTCTGAACTTTCTTAGTCTGGCCAAGTCCTACTCGTCCTTTAAGCTTCTACTTAGAACTCAGCTCTCTAGGAAGGCTTTTTTGCATTTTTCGCTCTACTTTTCCTTACAGCACCCTGTACATCCTCCTCGAAAGCATTTGTCATGCAGTATTATTGTGATTGCTGTGTCCTTGACTGTAAGTCCCACTGGAACCTGGGCTTCCTGAGAGCTACTGCCATGTCTCTTTGGTTCAGTGTGACACCTGGCACCTAGCACAGGAACTGAAATGAGAGTTATTTACACATCGAAGGCAAATCCAGATGCTAATTGAAACTGAGGGAGTGGAGGCTATTGCTAAAGAGGAATTTGTAAGTGGAGTGAGAAAATAGGATTATCAAGGGCAGACACTCAGCAACATTCCCAGAGATGGTGACGGGGATTGCTTAGAGCGCCAAGAAGAGGAGACAGTGGCATCACTATGGGAAGAGAGAGAATTAAGAAAGAGGAGCAGAGATGAGGGAGAGGAGGAGATTACTGCAGGAGAGAGGGGACTACTGATGGAGTTAGCTTCCGGAGTAGGTGGGGGTGGAATAGGGTGACCAACTATCTTGGTTTGCCCGGAACTGTCCTGGTTTTATAATGGAAACTCTTGTGTCCCCGGAAGACCCTGAGTCCAGGCTAACCCAGGTTGGTCACCATGGGTGGAATCAGGATTACCAGAGGAGCCAGCGGTTTTGGACAAGAGCTACCTCTCCCTTGAGTTATAGGGAAGGCAGAGAGGCAGAGAAGGACAGAGTCAAATAAATGAAGTGTATGGAACCAGGTCAAAGCTCTGCTTTGAGCTGTGTGATCTTCTTGAAACCAGGGCAAAGCTCTGCTTTGGGCTGTGTGATCTTCTTGAAATTTCTTAACCTCTCAGATTCAGTGCCTGTAATTTGCAATAATTAAACAAGAACGAGTCATGCGAAAGCCTCTATCCCAACCGTAGGCTCACAACTACAGTTAATGTTTTTAGTTTCCTTTCTTTCCTCACCTTTGCCGCTGCTCTCGTCTCCCATTCTCCCAT